TTAGACGACGCCATAAGGGCGCGTCGCATCGACGACGGGGATATGCAAGTTGCATTTGCCCAATCAAATCTGGCAGGACGTGCCAAGACTTGGGCACTGGGGCTCAAGTTGCACGACCCATATGCGTTTGGGTCGTTAAAAGTCTTCAAGTCGCGGCTCAGACAAACGTTTGAACCGCCTAGAGCTGAGTTCAGAGCTCGAACCGAACTCTTGAAGCTCAAGCAGGGTAAGCGTGATGTGCACGCTTACGCTCAACATATACGACATCTCACGAGTTGTATAAGTTCCAATCCGGTGAATGAGCACACGTTGGTTTCGGTGTTCATGCAGGGTCTTGCGGATGGTCCCGTCAAGACTCACCTGTTCCGGCTTGAACTAGATTCACTAGAACAAGCCATTTCCATTGCGGAAAAGGAAGACTTCAGTCTGAGACAGGCTCGCGCCAGCTCGACATCATATCGTCAACCGAGACGATATGACAGCGGAGGTTCAGAGTCGATGGAACTCTGTTATGTAGAGAGCGAGAAGGCTCGCTCTACAGACTACAAGAAGTTGCAGAGATGCAACAGATGTCAAAAGACAGGACACTACGCTTACGAGTGTAGTGCCCCTCGTCCAGTGTCTCGCGACACTGGGCGTAGTGACCGTCCACCCATGAGAAAGGGACAGGGACGAGGGTCCGCAGTTGGTGCAAAGACGCAACAACGGGATGGACCGTCAAAAAACGGACAGGATCAGTAGGTGCGGAGCACCCTACTGGTCCAGCAACGTCAAGAGAATTTGTAGGCCTCTTGATGAAGGTTGCTCCCAACACACAAACGTTGTGCGTTGCTGCTCTAGGTAATGAGGTCTCACTCATTACCTTGAAACTCGAAGTGACGAATAAGTTGTCTCTTCGAGCTCTAGTCGATTGTGGGGCGTCCAACAATTTTGTGCGACGCCAATCGCTAGAAGATGGTCACTTCAAGCTCAGTGACTGTGACACACCTCCTACGAGGATGACGGTACGTCTTGCGACAGGCGCATCCGTAACCGTCATGAAGCGTATAGTGAAGATCCACTATACGCTAGAAGATACCCAATTTGACGATGACTTTATCGTATTGGATTTGGATGACAAATTTGATGTCATCCTTGGAATACCGTGGCTCAGAAGGTACGAACCACGAGTAAACTGGCAACATCGAACAGTAACGATGCCTGCCGCTTGTTCATCAGATGGCCATCTGATGAACGTTTTGGAGCGTCCACAAGCGTGTGGATGTACTACGAGTGAGTGCGATGGCCTCACTTGTGGTACGGTCGTTAGTACGACTGCACAAAACCTTAGTGTACCAAACGGTTACACTTCGGAGCAAAGTTCCGGCGGCTGTGAGGAAGCACAGACTGCGCCGAAGGTCCACCACTCGAATAAGTCGGGTGGACTGGGACAAAGATGTATCCCTAGCGGGGAACATCTAGAAGAGAAACAATCGATCGCTCAGGTTAAGCGAAACGATAATCCTAGATCGACTGGAGAGTCTTTCGTAGAGGATATCGCTGTGGTTGCGCAACCCCAGCTAGAGGAAGTCAAGGGAATAAGTCCCAAGATTACAAATACGGCGAAAATAAGTTCCCCGGAACCCGCGGGAATAAGTCCCCGGGAAGCCGAAGGAATAAGTCCTTCGAAGCCTGAGGGAATAAGTCCCCAGGAAATGACAGAGACATTGAATGTCATAGTCAATAACGGATCATGTGTAGGCGCTTATACACTTGATCTGATTGCGCCTCCGAAGTTGACTTCGGAGATCACTCAGTTGCCAACGCTCGAACATAAAGGTTCTTGCGTGATCTGCGTAGTGGCAAAGTCAAGCAGATCTGCGTACTCGTCGCTGACGACGAGTGTGTAGCCGACATAAGGTCAGCAACAGTGTTCACTGAGAACGATAGAGTTCTCAGTAGTTCATCTATGGACGAGAGCGTCCTAGATGAAAAGAAACGAGTTGAGCGATATGACTCCCAATCATGGGAATCGCTCAAGAAAAATCCTCTCTGTGAAGATTTGGTTAAATTCAAGGATGTATTCCCTGAAACTGTTCCGTGCGAATTACCGAAGGATAAAGGTACTCGACACGAGGTCGAGCTTAAACCAGGCTCGAAGTACTGTGTCATGAAGCAGTGGCCACTGCCTCGTGAACAAGTACTTGCGATCGACAAGCTCTTTGCCGATCGTTTAGCTGCGGGCCATGTGAGGGAATCAACTTCCCCACATAGCTCTCCGACCTTCTGTGTGCGAAAAGCAACAGGAGGGTGGCGGATAGTGCACGCGTTCAACAAATTGAACGCTGCAACGGTACCGGCTCAGACGCCGATACCGAGGAAGGACGTAATCATTGATGGTATGTCAAAGAGTACCATCTTTTCGTCCATGGATTTGATGGATGGCTTCTATCAAATCCTAATGCGGGAACGGGATATACCCTATGCCGCAGTTAGCACGCCTAGCGGCATGCTCTGGGAATGGCTAGTAATGCCACAAGGGCTTAGTAATGCCCCTGCCACGTTCAACAGATGTGTATCACATCTGTTGAGACCAGTACGAGAATTCGCGCCGAGTTATTTCGATGACGTATTCATCCATTGACGAGCTATGGATGGAAAGTCGGAAGTTGAGGTTCACAGATGCCACGTCCGACAGGTTCTTACAATCGTGCGAAAGCATCAATCGTATGCAAATCTCAAGAAGTGTATATTTGTAGCAAGCGAAATACCACTTCTTGGGTGCATCGTTGGTAAGAACGGTGTACGTCCTGATCCCGAAAAGATCAAGGCGATCACCGACTGGCCGGTGCCGGTCGATGTCAAAGGTCTTCAAAAATTCCTTGGGCTAGCGGCGTATTTGCATAAGTATTCACGCAATTACGCCGAGATGACTGTGCACCTCTCTCGTTTGTTGAAAAAGAACGAGAGGTGGTTATGGAACGCTGAATGTCAACGCTCCTTTGAGGGTATCAAGCAGAGCTTGATACAATCCCCAGTCCTAGCAATAGCCGATCAGGACAGGCCATTTCATGTGGTCTGTGATGCCAGCGATTTCGCAATCGGCTGTGCACTAATGCAGTACGATCTTGAAGGCGTTGAACGCGTCGTCTGCTATCAGTCGCGTCAGCTGCAACCAGCTGAGCGGAACTATTCAGTGCATGACAAGGAACTCCTTGCCATGAAGTATGCACTCGCGAGGCTCAGAGTCTATCTCTTAGGAGATAGACCCTTCATTGTTTACACAGACCATGCGTCATTACGCACGGCAGTGAACAGCCCGCACCTTTCACAACGAATGGCGCGGTGGTTGTCATTCTTTGCAGACTGCAACTTTACGGTCGAGTACAAACCAGGACGACTTAATGTCGTCGCTGATGCACTCTCACGTCGTCCCGAATTTGAAACAGTCGCGAAACCCAACAGTGAGACAGTCACTGTTGCGGTTATGACGTCCTCAGTCCCATCTACAACGTTGTATGATGATGTGAGGCGGGCGTATGCCCCAGAAGGTGAGATAGTGAAGTTGTTGTCACATCTCTCCCAACCATCTCGAGAATCATTGAAACGATTGTCGCCTGCGTATCGATCTGCATCAGATCGATACACTACTCGCAACGGTTTACTGTATTATACAGCCGTTTCTGGTGACACGCCACGTGTTGTCATTCCAGATGATATTGATCTGCGTTTGCGGATCATGTTCGAGTATCACGATGCTCCTATAGGAGGACATCGTGGCCGAGAGAAAACATATCTCACGGTAAGTCGAGACTTTTACTGGCCCCGCCAGTATCAGTTTGTGCGAAAGTATGTTCGCGCATGCGAAGTCTGCCAACGAGTGAAGTCAAGTCCTTCACTGCGTGCACCTTTACAGCCTCTACCGGTTCCGGCTGAGTGCTGGGAATCCATCTCAATCGATTTTGTCTTCGGGTTACCCAAAGACGCACGCGGGAATACGGGTATTCTCGTATTTGTTGACAGATTCAGCAAAATGGTACACCTTGTGGCTGTATCAGAGACAATCACGGCAAGTGGCTGTATCAGAGACAATCACGGCAAGTGGATGTGCTTGTGTTTTTATTGACACCGTCTTCCGACTTCATGGGTTGCCCCGTGAACTCGTATCAGACAGAGATCCACGCTTCACTGCTGATTTCTGGCGTTCCGTGTTCAAATCACTCGGAACGCGCTTGAAGATGTCAACATCTGACCATCCAGAGTCAGATGGTCAGACGGAACGTGCCAATCGTGTCCTTGAAGAGACCCTTCGAGGATACGTACACTCCTTTAAGAGTTGGAGTGAGTTCTTGCAAATGGTAGAGTTTGCCATTAGCAACTCGGTGCATGCGTCCACGACACATACACCGTTTTACGTGAATGGCTTGCGCCATCCGCGTGTACCCACCTTACTAGAGTGTAACTCTGGTTTAAGGGGGGAGGGACTCGCGCGAGCAAAAACCGATTTGTTTCACGCTCATCACGCTCTGACGAAGAAGTCATTGCGTTTGATGCCGATATCGATAACATCGATATCGAAGAAGATGATGCCAGTGAGAGTGCGGAAGCCCTCACTGAAGACAATGATCCCAGTGAGAGTGCGGAAGCCCTCACTGAAGAAAAGGTTGTTGTTGCTGCAGTGCGCTCACAGCACACTGAAGCTAACGAGTCATCAGATGAGTTCATACTGGCTCGTGAAACGGTAGTCCGTTTTGTGCAAGACTCCATCGCCGAAGCGGTGGATAAGCAAAAGCAAAACGCTGACAAGAATGGAAGGGCAAACACTCTTTTATTTAGTAAAGGTGACTTAGTCCTACTGTCTACGGTTAATCTACCAAAGCATGTAATGACTAACTTGGGTAGCAGTAAACTACTACCCAAGTACATTGGCCCATTTCGTGTATTGCACCGCCTAGGCAATGCATACACGATCGAGTTACCACGTAAGATGCGAACGCATCCCACGTTTCACGTTGGTCGGCTTAAGCCGTACCATCAGTACGCTGCTTCTTCCTATGAAGAACGCTCTTGCGCTCAAGCATCTCACAGAGGGCCTTGTGCTCCCGATGGTGGATTTCAATAAGGGTCTGAAGAGCAGTTATTTCAGCCCGAGATCGGTCAATATCCCCACGAGCTACCCTTAGCTCGTCACGCAGATATGTCAAAGCTCTCTCTTTCTCAAGCTGAGCAAAGGCAAACTCAGCTCGATGCTTCGAGGCAGTGTCCGCCAGTTGGAGACGCCTGTCCCGCTCATGTTCGAGATCGTCGCGTAACCCTTTCGTTACGCGATCAAAGAGGCTTTCGGGAACACACTCTTCCCCACGATTGTGTGGAGAGCGTCTTTCCTCCTTCTCCGCCTCGATTAGAGGACTCTCGCGGTGACCAGTGCTATCTGGTTGAGCAGCTGTTGAACCACCGCGATGTGAACGGACGTCGGAAGAGTCATCTCGTCCGGTGGCGCGGCTATCCCCCGTCCTGGGATACTTGGGAGCCCCGCTCCCAACTAATGATCGACGTACTGGGTCTGGTTGAGCAGTACGACGCGGCACATCCTGTGGCGCAGAAGTACTGCTAGAGAAAGTCTTCCCGGCACGGTCGTAAAGGGATTTCAGGCTGTCAATCCCTTCTTACATCTCACTAGAGATACGTACGCGCCACCATGGGCTATTAGGGAGGTAAGCCTCCTTAGGTGCGCGCGCAGAGTTGTTCACACAACATGGGCACGGGTCTCCCCAAGAGAGGCAGGGTAATCCTTTCTCCCTTGACAGACGATGCAGCTTGTAGCGTGCACCTGTCGGGGTTCGCTTTTCAAACTTATCACGAGCTTTGATAAGTTTGTCGTTCCAAGCGTCACGACCTACATCCTCGAGGTTATGGATGTAGGCGTTCCACGCCTGAAGTAGTGAGGGACCATCACGTTTGTGATTCCCACTGTACCATCGATGTCTGAAGAAAGCATCGATGAAGAATTCGTGTTCAGCGCGATAGTTTTTCGCGCTGGGGTCAAGGTGATGGATCCTTGACGAATCGAACAATCGTGTTCGATAACGATCACTCGTCGTCGCCGACAAGTGATCCATGACGGATTTCGGAGGCATCCATGCCTTCTTCTCAGGAGCGAGACGCAAGACATTGCGGTCCCGCTCTTCCTGCGACGTGCCGACAGAAGTACTGGCACCTCGCTGTGAAGTGGTGTCCATTGGAGAACCGACAACACTATTAGCGCCCGAGTCTCGCGACCTCGAGCGCCTTCGCTTCGGCGATGGTTCATCTGATTCATCAGATGAACCGAAGATGCTGCGACGCAAAGCATCGTCCATGCCACGCTTGGCAGGCGGCTTGGATTCGATCGCCGTCGATACGGATCCGTCATCCGTATCAGGAGAGTACGAGACACCGAGCTCGTACTCTGTGAAGACACGAGTGTCTTCATGACCAGCGCCTGCATCACCAGGTGACACAGGCTGAGTCGCTTCAGCAACCGATGGGACATCAGTTGTTGTAGTTTCTGCTTCGGCGTCCGCACAGAGACGTGCGGACGCGCTCTCGGCGGCCTTGCTCGCGCACAGCATGGGCTTGTTAACTATGCGATGAAATGTTGGGAAGTGGACTCGGACCAACAAGTGCAAACCCTGTCCCAAATGGTTTGGGACGAGTATCCATTTAATTAATCAGTCACTAAAGTGACTGATGGTTAAGGGGGGGGGTGATGTAACGGAGTGAATCGTTACATAACAATTTATAAGAAATTGTTACTAGAATATAACTATAAGAGTTATATTCTCAGAATATTGTCATAAGGACAAATATTCTGTTGCACTTACGAGTAGTTCCTAATTGGTTGATATAGGCCATTATATCAACCAACGAAGACGCGCCACGACAGACGCACGCAATGAGTGGTGAGCAGATAACTGATTTACACATTTGTATTTAGACATAGTTCGATGAAGATAAATAGTGATTTATTGCAGACATTAACTATTATAAATGCATTTCTACTTTTACTCTAACCAAGTACTCGCTTCTTCTTACCGTCTTCCTCTGCACGTACGAGTGTACGTGAAGTTCCGAGGCACCGCCTTATTCTGTTATCAGAATAAGTAGCTTGTACTGTAACCAGTACAAGCTTCAGGGTGCCCCGTTACATTTGAAGTGCATGGCAACGCAGTGCTAGGTCAGTTAAGGTCAGCTGCGACATTTCGTTTCCGCGGAGTTTACTGATTCCTCTTCTTGCGGTTGTTTGCAGAGAGACATACTTGTCCGGTCCGACACGCACGCTATTTGCACGGCTACTATTTCAACGGCCGAACACGACACCAAACATGTTGTAATTTATCTCTTCTAGCATTACATTTAAATCATTTTGCGCACTCTTTTCGCAGAACTACGTTGTTCTAGCTGTCAACTGCTGTAGAATCTGCGGCAATCGAAGCCATCGCAGCTGGAGCTTGTAAAGATCACCGCCTGCTCTAAACTACAGCACTAAGGATCAAACGTGATGCACAGACAATGACTGAAACGCTAGATTCTACAGTTGTCAAACCGAAGCTATTGCCAGTGCATGTGACTTGCAGGTTCTTGAGATTTCATGGAGACATAAGCTTGGTCTTTTTTTGTACCCCTACATGGTGAGAGCTTTCATTACATTAATCAGACGGCAGTTGGCACATTGGCGCCGAAGAGTTTATTGCGCTAAACCATAAATTTCATTTGCTGTGCTACTTGAGATGGAATGCGTCCGAAGCACGGTGAGCTCTAGTTGACAAAACATACAACAACGTGCAATATGTACAGAGCACAATATGACTGAGCAGCGCTCCATCATATCCAGTATGCAGCACCACTACCACGTGAGAATTTTACACGACTAATTGTGCGAGCTTTCAAATGATGTGGACATGCCTTCTGTAGCGGAGCTACACAGCTCCTTAAGTCAGAGGAAGACTTAACGCTCTACGAGCAACTTAGTTCTAAAGAACTAATGACTTTACGAGTCAACAAGCTTTATAGCTTCAGATCCCTGTTCCAGGGGACCTAACGATTCAGTGAATCGACAGCACTTAGTGCTCAAGAGTAGCTACCTCAAGGAGGTGTCGCTAACTCTTAGTGATCAGAGATGAACGATCAAGACGGCTCGGAAGCCACGTGTCTTTCAGATAATGGGAACTGATTTTATTTTTGTTAAAGCCTATAGAATATCTTAATCCTACTCAAAGATCTTTCGTATCTAATGGCTGACACTCGTCAGCCCCTACAAACCGATAAGAAATTCTAGATCACCTTCACAGAAGCGAACCCTCAGGTGTGTAACACCTTTGGTACAAAGTACCATGATTTCGTGCAACCCCGTTACACCCTCCCCCACCAGACTGACGTTTGCCAAAACGTCAATCGAACTTGTGTTCTCAGCGAAAACAGTGCGCGTACGGTGAACCTCACGGTAACGTACGCTCCAGCACGATGTCCTCATCACCAAACGAGTCAAAGGCTCTGTGTGACTACCTCGGAATAGAGGAAGAGGTGGACTATGGTAGCGATACCAGTGTCCAAGGTGACACAGGGACAACGTCCGGCTCACTGATGCCTGAGGCACAACTTTCGAACACCCCAAATCCGTTCGCTGAACGTGGAGGTGCGAGCACGCCGCCAGCGCAGCATGCAGCATCTGGTTCTGATGAGACTATCATCACGAACCCGCTCGATGAGCAACAACAACTGCTTGTTCAAAGAGAAGAAAACGCTCAGCGTTATGCACAGATGACTACAACCCTTGAACGCCAGCGTGATTATGTTTTCACCCCACCCAGTGTGGAGGAACGTCTGCGTCAAGCGGCCGGCCAAACATTGGCAACGTGGGTCATTGGCCATGGGCCTAAGACTCCTGAGGAGGTGGTGAGCTGCCAGGCACTTCGTGAGAGGTATATGAAGCCGCACCTAACGACTCAAAGTCAATACAAGGCACGCCTTGACATGCAAGCACGTGGTGCACCAGTTCCACCGATGAAGGGCATACCCATTCTCCTGCTCGCAGGCGAAACAGCGAGTGAAGAAGACGATGCCTTTGTTCACTGGGTGCACTACTACTAAGGTAGCCGCGAGTGCTGGTCAGTCTGTGACCAACAACCCGCCAACCCGCACCACTAGTGGTGGTGAACGGCCTCGGCCTCGAGATGACCATGGCCACGATGCTCAAAAGCCTCCAAAGCATATGGGCAGTCTTGCCGACAGGGTACCTCGTATTCCCATGATTTTTCGGACTCAGGGTACCCACGCCGCCTTACCAGATTCTGGTAGTGTTCATAACGATGACATCGTTTCAGTAGTCTCTCATCATGAAATTGACAACACCCATGCTCATCGAGCAGCGTCAGTGGTGGCCATTGTACAGGTGGCAGTCCACGAGAAATTGGTTCTCGAAGTGAAGGGTCTTCAAAAGACCCAAGGGACAACCGAATGCGTGCTGAATGCGATGCAGAGCCAACTCCAGGCAATGGAGCATGCTTAAACTCGGAGCGAGGCGTAGTTAGACTTGCTGATTCGCTTACAGCAATCCGGGGCACCGCCCTCGTCGTCGGCGCAAGAGCCTTAAATTCACATAGGAAGGATCCCGGTACGGCTTAAGTCACTGGGTGTGTGCGCAATTTGCGTGAAAGATTTAAGCGTATACGCAACCATTGGCGATGCCCTTAAACGGTCCACCAAAGCGTGGGCGGAACTATGTCTTGAAGACAGCAGACACAACAATTGTAGGTAGATTTCTAGCTTCGACTTATACTTGGTCTCAGACCTCTCATTTTTTAATTTAACTCCTGCATTTGGCATCATCTTGTTGTTTTTGTTGATCTTGGCTATCAGCCATTGCGTCACGCACATGTCGTAAGACATTCAATTGCGTTGCGAGAGAATTCGCCTACCTGTTTTTAAACAGTAGCAGGGATGATATCAGCAAGCCAATCGGCAACCCTCTCCCCCCACCAAGCCCTGAATCACGTAGTGACAGCGTTAACGGAACGCAAGGGTGGGTGAGGCGATTTACTCAAAAACGGAGTTCAAAGCCTGTGGAGGCAGAAACAGCATTGTTCATCTCAAATTCAACAACAGGGAGCATTGAATTTCAACGCCGTGGCGTATCAGCGCAAACACTGCGCAAAATGTCAATGATGGCGCGATTAATACGCTTCATTTTGATTCGATCATTCATAATTGTTCGCCGTGATATGTC